AGGCCTCTGAGTGAGGACTGAGGGGGGGTCCTGAAGGCGCCCTCCCAGCAATGGGGAGACTCAGCCCCACAAGTTGGGGGAGTAGGCAAGGCTGGGGGGAGAAATAAGGTGGGGGGGGAAGAAAGAAGACGGAAGGCTCCTGGCTCTGGGCCCCCCTCACGTCAGGCGCCTCTCTGGGGGGGGCAGGCCTTCTCTCTCTCCCGCTCTCTCTCTTTATTCCCCACCCCCCTCCCTGGCTAAAAAACGACCCCTCACCTCTGCCATCACCGCTTAACCTGCCACTCCTTGCTCCTCTCTCCCCATTGGCTGGGCCGGGAAGAGCCCCGCCTCTCGGAGGCGGGACCCTCCCTGCCCTTCCGACCGCCCGGCCAGGCCTGGGACTATAGAGCTAAAGGAGGCGAGAGCGGCAGTTCCGGTTCCCCTTTGAGCGTCCGCCATTTGCGGGGAATGGGGAGGAGGGTCGAAGCGCTTGGCGCCGCTTCCAGCGTGTATGTCAACGGCTCAGAGAGAAATAGAAAATAAAGATCAGAAGCTTTCTTTTTCTATGCGTAATGTCTGTGGGGGGTCATTCTCGCCTCTCCACAAACACCACCTCGGTTTACGCAAATAACCGGAAATGTCGGCGCGGTTTGGTGGAGACCGAGCGCACCGGTGTGGAGAGAAAAGGGTGGCGAGTCCCCCAATCGGCCTTTCAGAAGGTGGACCATAGAGTGGGGAGCAGAGCGGCTCCCGCTTTGGCTTTGCCCAGGGGAAAGCGAGTTGCCGGAAAGAGAGGCCAGGCTGGACGTGGGTTAAGTTTGGGTGCCCCCCCTGGTGGAAGGAGGAGCCAAGAGAAAATAGGGAAGAAAACAGAAAAAGGGGGGAAAGTGGGAAAGGAAAATGGAGGGAAGGAAAATAAGAGGGAAAAATAGAGAAAAGGCGGAAGGAAGGAAGAGAATGAAAAGAAGAGAAAGGCAGGCAACGAGTTACATTTCAGATGCTTAGACTACAACTTCCATCTGCCCCAGCCAGCATGGGGACAGGTTGTTCACAAATTTCCAAAAGGTAGCAAGTTCTCTCTTCCAGTTTTCAGCCTTGTCAGTATTTTTTTCTTATGAGGAGACCCATTACAATGAATGTGAATGAGCCCTGAGTCTTTTTAGAAAGGTGTCCCTTCTTCATACAAGTGAAAATCTCACGCTGTCCTTGAAACCAGCTTCTCCCCATAATTCCATGTGAAATTTAAAACACTGCCAGGGGAAACAATTTAAAGCAGTGGCAGATTTAGAAGGAGGTTTATTTTGCTCTTTAGTTTTTCATGACACTTTTTTTTCTACATTACCTTGCATTTTTTCCCTAACATCAACCATGGATAAAGAAAGATAAAAGCAAAAACAGTAGGTGCGATATCGCTCCCCCCTAGGATGATAAAATAAGTTGCATACAGAGAAAGAAAAGGGTGTAATTTAAAAATTAAAAAATCCCAAATTAAAAAAAAATAGTTTTGAATATGTTTTTTTTTTCAAACTGCACACAATTTCCCCTGAAATAGGTACTCCTGCCCACTTGAGAGTCAGTGATCTTCTTAGAAAAAAAAAATAGTTTAAATGTTTAGGAGCCGCTATAATGCTTCTGAGGCAGTACAGCATGTTTTTCTGGCTTTGGAAAAATCAAAGAGCTGCACATACACAGAGACACACAATACAACATCAGAATGTGCTGTCACTGGAATTTGAAAAACGCAGGTCGAACAACTGCCTTTTAACTTAAATGAGAGTGAAAGGATGTCTGGATGTAAAGAATAAACTCTGACATTGACAAATCCACTCCTGGGCTTATTTATTTTCTCTGTTCAGGCAAGGAGAGTTTCAATGGCTACTGACAAAGCTCTCGAGAAAGTGAATTATCTCTGTTCTTACAGAAGGTGACCCCAGACTGCAGGAGTGGAGAGACGGATCCTGCCAACGTTAATGCCAGCTTGCCAAGGTGAAGACCTTCCACAGAATGGCAGCCCTTTCTGGATGCAAAACACAACTTGTTGGGCTCGTCCTTTATTCAGGATGAGCCCAACATCCTGTACCCGCTCGGAGATGAGAATGGCTACCTTTTGCAGACTACAACTCCCAGAATCCCCATAGGCTCTGCAGGCCATGAGATTATGGGAGCCACCATTTTAAAAAAAAGTAACAATAAGTCCAACCTTTCTGTTAGGGATGTGCTTCCAGATCCAGAAGTTATCTGGAATCTGAAGCAACAGTACAGGTATTTGTTGGCTTCTGATCTGGAGCAAAACAAAGAACCTCAAAGTAAGACTTAAATCAAACTGGGGCTCTTTGGAAGTTAAAAAAAAACCCCAGAGGGGCAGTTTTGGTTTCCTGAGGACTGAGAGCAGGGCAAAAGGGACGAGTCAATGCAGGAGAGATTTGTGGAAGCTGAGAATGGAGGGACAGCCTTAGTGGGAATGCACCCGTCCTGCGTCACATGAGAGTCTCTCCTTCCTGTTAATATTTTCTTCGTTTATCTAGACAAACGTGCAAATACTTTAAAATATCCACGCACTAATCAAATGGGGTAGGACTCCAAATTGGTCCAAAGTGAGCGGATGCTCTTTGGAAGACAACCCACTGGGAATTCCTGTGGTCACACGGGCAAGCTGAATTGATTTCTGATCAAAGAATCATGTCCAAGTCACATGGGGGCTACAGTACATTCACGCATACTGCATGGGAGTCAATATATTTCTGGGCATTTAATCTGGTTTTTTGGGTCTCCGCAGTTGAAAATGGACTGATTTCCGTTCTGTTTTAGGAGTATGCAGTTCTTAAAGGTTATTTATTTATTTAAAGTATGTGGTATATCGAGGAGGCGCTGCCTGGTGTCGTCACCGTCATTAGAATCCAAAGAGCCTCCTTAGGAAGCTTACATGAAGACATAAAATAAAATAAATAATAATAATTACGAAATTCTAAAGATGTCTAAATCATCATCATCCCCTCCAAAGGCACAGGCCTTTCTGAGGCGGAGGGGCTTGTGTGCTTCCGTGAGGTTGGGAGCTAAGCTGAAGGGTCTCCCAAGCCAGAGAGGTCTCAGCTGAGAAAACAGACCCATTGTGTCCACCAACCATCAATTATGATGAGAGGAAATAAACAGAAATCCATACCAGATCAGTTTTCAACAAGGATCGCCTCAGATGCTATAACCCCTGGGCATCTGGTGACAAATGCGCTACAGGGCTCAGCAGACCCTCTCGAGGGACCCAGACAGGCTGGTGGAAAAGTGACTGGAACAACATAAAATGCAAAACTGGGACTTATGCCAAAAATTGAGAAATTATTAAATGTTATTACATGGCAAACCTAATAGCCTGTGGTTTTCAAAAAAAGAATGATGGAAATTTGGAAAAGGAAACATCCAGGTAGGGACATAACTGAACAACGATTAATGGACCAGAGAAGTTTTATCATCCAGAGTAAAATGTTTTCAGAACTGGAATTGCAAGAACTAGAAAAGCTGGTAAAAGAAAAATCAACACAGAACAATGACCACAGTATGGAAGATAAATGGGGGAGAGAGGCCGATGCAGTCGTAGAAGAAAACATATCAATAGGGGAACAACTTTTGGAACAGCCCAAAATTATTAGTTGACAGAATGGCAGACATCACTGAGAGGAAAAAGAGTAACACATACAGTATTAGCCAGAACACAGAAAAACAGAGGCTCCCCAATTTGCGCCAATTACAAAGTAAACCAGTAAAAGATCTACTGAATGATGCAAATGTTGTCATCAGAACAATTCTGACCAACCCAAAAGGAAACAAACCAGCTCATGTATAGCACAGCTACACTAATAACCATGGAACTTGGTTACAAGCTGCAAAAAAAGCCAGAAAACGTGTGGCACTCCAAAATGGAAAATTCATCTGGAAAGCAAAATAAACAAATTACTTGCAGACATTGGGAACTTAAAACACTTGAAAGATTTAAAACTTAGAAATGAAAAAGTAAAAGCCAGACTATGCAAAATATATGATCCAGTAAGGAAAACAATATTTGAAACTATGGAGGAATTAAAACAGTGGTTAACAGCTACAGCAAAGAAAATTTAAAGGTGTGATGGACGCTTGAAACAATGTAGAGAAAACATGTGATTTTGAAATAACCATCAATTATTCTATACCGTACATCACTAGCAAAAAATACAGAGCAATTATGGTCTGGCAATTATGTAAAAAAATATAACTTGCTATCCTCCAAAAAAAACCCATGGGAACATCAGGTAGACAAGGTGTCAGAAAATGAAGAGGTGAAGATCTTGTGGGATTTCCAGATCCAAACGGACAGATGCCTTGAACATAACATACCAGAGATAGTAGTAATAGAATGAAGAAATGTCTGGATCATTGACATTGCAATTCCAGGGAATGCCAGATTTGAAAATAAAGAATTGGAAAAACTAACAAAGTACAGAGACCTAGCCATCGAAACATCTCGCCTCTGGAAGAAACACACTTCAGTAGTCCCCTTAGTCATTGGGGCTTTGGGAACAATATCAAGGAATTTCACGCAGTACTATAAGTGGCCCTTCCGTTGATCTCAGAAATCATACCATTAGAGCAACAAAACCCAGCAATATTAGGAACAGCATACACACTGCGTAGATATTTAATAGATACTTAGGTTTT